TTTTTTGCAATTTGAGCCAAACTAAACGTTGAATCTCGGTGTCGATTGACCCATGATTCTCGGTTCTCAGCACCTGGATGGCTCCCAAAGGCTACATACCAGACGGCGCATCGTCGCGCTGCTTTATCGCGAAATTCGTAACCAGATGCTTGAAGGCGATCACCGGCAACCTTCGCCTGATCGTGGGCGTCGCTTTGACTCGCCACGAAACATTATTTTCGAATTGTCCGGTGGGAAACCTAACATTTCAAGCTGAGCGAAACCGTATTGCGCAATCGAACTCGACTCGCGAATCACGCTAGTCAGCTCGAAAAATAGGCAAAAATTTGTCTGCCCAAGATTCGAGATCGCATCTCCTCGACTCACGAACATTAACACAATTAAATAAAATAAAAAAATCCGTCAAACATCCGAGTGATCTAACTTTAGACTTACAGCTGCACCAGCTTCTCAAATGGTATAAAAAGAATCTCGCTTGTTAGCGAAATCTCTATCGAACAAGATTTGGAAGTGTGCCTCGAAGGAATTTCACTTGCACGTCGTGGTTCGAGGGTGAAGGAGGACGTTTAACCGATCTGTGAAAGTCAGAAAATTCGCGAAAGTGCGAAAGGGGATTTGTTAAATGTTAATGAAACAACGCGATGCGCGGATTGCCGGTGGGAAAACGCGAGGGAAAGCGATGGAGGCTGCCATGTTTCGCGCATGCACGGACGATGATCGCCGTGTCGAGGCGCGCCGTGGCTCAGCAGACTCCGAAATGTTGATGCTAAATAAAACTCCTAGCTGCTTGGGACGATGCCATGCGTTCTAATTTTCACGACGGCAGATCGCTAGCCCGGGACGTGATCCGCCGCGTCGTTCGAGCCGGATGATTCGATAGTCTTTCGAGGCTCTCTCCGGGTTACCTGTTCTTCGTGGCGAGGAGAGGGAAGGAGGAAGTTTATACACAGGTCAACTGTGGGAAAACGTGCCTTTCTGGACGAAACACCGCGATTAAAGCGAAGATTTCGATCATTTTCAACGAGGAACAGAGCAGTTCCCACCGACAGTGACAATCAGTTGGATTATAATCGACCAGTGGGGGAGGGGAATTCTCGTCTCGTGACAAAGAAGAAGAATGTTCCCGCAAGACCAGGGAAATTAGGAATTCACAGTGACTTTGTTAATGTGTTTTCAGTTCTCAGGAACGAATTAATCGTAAAGAAAGGAGCAGACTGATTATATTTAAATCGAAACACCTGTGACGAACGATGAGTGCGTGTAGTTTCAAGTTAAAGATGAAAAATGAATTTTTTGTCGATTAATTCCTTTCAAAAGTTGATGAGTGTGCGTGCGTGTGTGCGTGCGCGCGCGCGCGCGTGTGTGTACGTGTGTTTTTAATTCCAAGTGAAGGAAAGAAGCAAAAGGAAAATTGCCGAATTTCTTCGACGATTAAAGAAAATCCTTCGACTCGGAAAATCGACGAATCGTAAATTTGACTTGTGTGCTTGATCCCGAAAGAAAGAAGCGAATCTCCAGGTGTTTTCCAGCGGTGAATCGTGGGTATTTCCATGCGAAGGTTCCGGTGACATGGCTGCCGCCCTTTTGGGCAAGTGCGTTGGCTTACTGGCACTGGTGTTGCTTCTTTACAGTTGCTGCTATGGCTTCCGTATTCGAGATCACCCGTCCTCGTCGTCGGCCGAGCAGCCTCATCACGCCACCTGCACTTCCATCTTTGGCAGATGCCACGAGAAGACGACGATCACGGCCACGCCGAGCAAAAAGTGGCACGACATTTCACGGCCTGCCACCCTTTCTAGAAAACCACCTGTCGAGCCGACGTCGACGGGAGATGAAGCACACGCGAGACCAGAGAGGGCCAGACCTGTCTCCTCCGACTCGAGAGACAAGAGTATCGATAACGACGAGGACGACGACGACGACGAGGTGATCGTGGAGGTAGAGGAAGATACTGGCGAAGAAATTGCGAGTTACGAGGAAACAGCTGACGAAGATGATGAGGATGATGATGATGATGATGATGATGATGATAAGGAAGAACGCGAAGAACAGGAAATAAGTGGAGACGAAAACGAGGACGATGATGATGAAGACGAAGAAGGAGAAGAGGAAGAAGAAGAAATAAGAGAGCGAGTAAGTTTGGACAGAGGCTCGAGATCTAAGAGACAGGAGAAGATTAAAGAAGATGAAGAGGAGAAAAGTGAAAGAATCGATTCAGTGAAAAGAGTAGGCCTGAAGAGGGAAATGAAATCTAAGAGACAGGAGGTGAGCGAAGAAGACGAAGATGAGGACGAGATGAAATACAGGAAGGTAGCTGCGAAGAAACTCGTAGAAGACACGGAGGAAGATGAAGGGAGAAGCAAAAAGGTGGAGCCGAAAAAAAGAGGAAGTCTAGAAAAAGATCTCAAAGAAACGGTGAGGTCTAAGAAACAAGAGGCAGAAGAAAGAAGCGAAGAAGAAGATGATGATGACGATGATGAAGAGATGCTTGAAGAAGATGAAGATGAAGATGAAGACGAAGACGAAGAAGAAGAATTAGAGGAGGAAATATCAACACCCCCGCCACGAAAATTAGAGAAGGTCAGGCTCGCGGACAAAGACAAAGTTAGGTCAGCCGAAATATTATCAATTATAGAAAAACCGAAAGAGGCGCCGAAAGCAGAGAAAAAACCGGACGAAAGCGCGAAGAAGGTGCTAAAGTCACCGGAAAGGAAGTCGACGGAGGAGCCATTGAAAGTAGTTGAAGCCACGAAGAAAGCGGAGCCCGTAAAGATAACGAAGGCTGAAATCGAACCGCCTGAACTGAAGATTACTGCGAAGCCGGAGCAGAAAGCGAAGATTCCAGCGAGGACAGAGGAAAAAGCGAAGGTTCCGGTGAAACCGGAATTGTCGAAGACGCGGGAACCGGCGAAAGTGAAATCAACCGCGGCTCAAGCCCCGGTAAAAATCGTGGAACCAAAACGATCCGACAGTGAGTATCGCGGCAGTGAAACCGTAATTATTGCAATTACTTCGATAAACTGGGTTAACAGGGAGTAATTTCTTTTCTTTTTTTTTTTATTACACACTGATTTACAAATTAATTTCTGGGCAGAAATCTACTTATATTATATTCTCAAATTCAAATATAGCTCAAGATTTGTTGGACGAAAGTCCAGTCTTCATCGAAAAACGAAAGAAACTCTAAGTCGCGCATTAAAGTGATAATTAAATGATCATTAAGCAGAAATTTGAGCAGCAGCAAAATTAATTCGCAGCGAATTACTCCCCCCATTCCTGAATCTATAAATTAAATTTTCGATTGCTTCGAAAATTTCGCAAATTTTGTGAATTTCCGCCAAGTTGTTATCGAAGTGGTTTCATCAATTTTCCACTCGAAATTTATATTTAAAACGAACGAGACCGCCGAGAGAGAAATTCTCGTCGAATCGAGAGTTGAAAGAACATACGACGATATCGTGTTGCAGAAGACGAGCCGAAAGTAGAAACGAAAACGCACGTGGAAGGTTCTTTCACTTTGGCTCGATTGAACGACGCGATATTACGCGTGCCGACCTTCGTGCCAAATTTCACGGCCGTCGAGAATTTCGAGTGTCAGCAGCACGGCAAGATTTTCCTACGACAGTTACGGGGTTACAAATTATGGGCCTTGCAAAGTAAGTCTAGCCTTTCATCGGAAATTTTCACTCCAATATCATTTTGCTTCTCAAGCTGTTCCTTTACTATTAATTTTTTTCTACCTTTTTCTTGTCCAACAAGCTCAACGAAAATGTTCCGAATAATTCTGTGAATATTTGATTATCAATTGGCGTTGTTTCTGCGGAATCAGTGTTAGATTCGAGCGCGAAAATTCCATCGGGCATACTGCGAGGGAACGTGAACCAGCTTGGAGATTTTGACGAGTGTCTGGCCGTGATGGCCCACGTGAAGTTGAACGAGAAAACGATAAGAGTGCAGGGCAAATATTGTTTGGCCAATATAGATTTGTATCCGTCGCATCCGGGCATGAAGCTTCCGGTTAATATGATGCAGGCACGTTCCCTCATCAGAGGAAGCATGTACGACGTAAGTGAAACTGTTCCAATCATTTTACAAACCATCGACGATACTGATCTTTGCAATCTTTGTGACAACGAAAGTGATAACAAAATTATTGGATTTCTTAAAAAGTTCGCGTTGAAGCTTCAGTATTGTCATCAAATAGAAGTGATTCTCAACAACAGACGTTCGCTTTTTTTTTTTTTTTTCAGCCTGGTCATTTTATTCCAAAGTTCACGACAGTGAACTGGGCGCTGTGCCTTCCAGCGGCTTGTTCCGCCGAAGACGCACGAACCGTTGTCGAGCAAGCGTTGGACGATTACAATTCCACCGCTGGAATTACGTTCATGGTGGACGTGAATCCCAACATGTGCTACGTGAAACAGAAATCACGGAGTTATTCGAAAGAGACGATCGGTGTTCTGTATGTATTGCACATTTTGTTAATCGCAGAATTACGTTGACTTGAAGGGACCCAAAATCGTAGTTTCTAGTAATCAATCGGTAATTGGTTCGTCCAGTTTAATCTTCAAAATAAAAATATGCGTGCCCTTCGAGGCGCGTGATTTAAAGATTAATTTTTGGCATTCAGAATAAAAGAAACGACTTTCCTCGACGATCGTGGATTCCTTAAAGAATTTTCACGTTATTTCATCAAATGATTGCAATCCAACGAGAATATGAGGTATTTCATTTCTATCTTCTGCTTCTCGATTTTTCTCCACAGATATTTCTACGCAATGGTCGTCTGCCTCGTCGCCGTAGCAACTATGAGAGATTATTTGGTGGTGTCGGAAGGGAAAGGTAGATTCTCATAACATTCTCTGTATATCCCCATTTGTAAGTTAATGCGCTTAAAGAGAGTAGCATCGCTTTACTTTAGCTTCGAGTCAAACGTATCCCACGTATCGTACGGCGAGTCGACTTTGTTTTATTTGTCACACGATCGTCGTTCTTTACAGGAAACTATTCAGAGAGGATAATAATGTCCTTTTCCTTACGAAGGACCTGTAGATCATTGTTCAGAGAAGGAACGAGCGACGCCGATATTACATGCATTCATGGAATAAGGGCACTCAACACGATTATACTTTACGTTGCTCATCAAGTAATTGTCATCTCGCGATTGCCATTTGCCAATCGAATCGAATTCACCGAGGTAAGCACGAGAATTTGAATTCCGAGAATCCCTCGGAGAAAGTCTCAGGACTGTGCAACGTCTTTTATATTATATAATACATATATATATATATATATACAGAGAGTATTATAAATATTATTGACATCTTGTAAATCGCTAAATAACTTTTATGTCATAATGTCTGATGTTGAAATACATATGTAGGTAGCAAACTCTCCTATCAGCTCTGTAATAAGAACATCGATCGTTTACACGGACGCATTTTTATTGCTTAGCGGTGTCTTAACTGCTTTCAACATGGCACGAGAGTTCACGACGCGGGGTGAGATTCGATGGTTTTGCCGTTTTATTGCCAGATACATCAGGTAAACTAATCGTCGATCAATTTCACCGTCGAGGATTGCCTCCGGCTTCTTTTCCCATTGTAAAAGTCCAATGAAATTCAGAATTGAAAGATCGTGCGTACATGTGTATGTCGCTTTACATTCGAATGTAAACTCTCTCGAACGTCTGAAATTGTCCTTCGATGATACGTTGAATTTTCGTTACTTACTTTTTTATTAAACTGATTCATTCAACGAAACATGGTGATTTTAGGCTCACCCCAGCGTTACTGGCAGTGGTGTTCTGGTACGCGTTCGTAATGGAACACGCTGGCACGGGGCCGCAATGGAACAGCCTCGTAATACCGAACGCAGAACTCTGCAAAAGCAACGCGTGGACAAATTTATTGTACATACAGAACTTCTTCCCCTTCGAAGAAATGGTATCTATCTAAAATCTAAAGCCTTGTTCTCGAGAAACAAACCGTGAAACGACGAAACATCGCCGATCCAATGCCGTATTTTCCAATCGCGTTAACTGCGCGAAATTGTTCTGAGATTGTTTCATTTAGAAAACATGCCTCTATCTGTCATTTACAACGAATATTTTCTTGATCGATAGTGCGCAACTCATACCCACCAGTTGGCTTTAGACATGCAATTGTCGCTATTAGCCCCAATGTTGGTATTCTTCTTAGAATGCAGGCCCGTCATTGGGATTCTTGTAATATTTTTCTTCGTCTTATTGTCAGCTACACTCCGTTACGTAGCAACGATGAGCAATTATCTTTCCATCGTTGTTTTCCATGGAATGTCGTAAGTTGCACGTTAATTTCTCATTTCTCTCGAAATTCTCTGATCGCCAGTTTTCCTGCGAATGTGAATCCTCGGTTTTAGGGTGAAGCACCTTTACAGGACTGCCAATTTAGTTTACGCGTTGCCGTTGCACAGAGCGACGCCCTACGTATTTGGCGTGGGGCTTGGCGTGCTGTTGCGTTACACCGGGAAAGAACTCAGGATCCACAAGGTATTTATTTCAACTCCCAAATCACACCGCAGACAATCGACTTATTTCCAATCTGTAGTCACGCTTGATAAAGATAATCGACAATTTTTACCGCATAAATGTATAACGTATCGATATTAAGCGGAAATGTAACGTGTGTAAAGTATGGTCGACGAGATTTGTCTATAACGGAGGAGACCGTGACCCATCAAGCGAGCGTGATGCATGCAATTTCAGGTGTTAGTGATCTTGGGATGGTTGGTCGCGATGGCCTTGGGATCTTGGGCGTTATTGTCGCCGTGGCACTTAGCCAGAAGAGACTATGTGTACGATGCTGAAGAAGCAACCAGTTACAACGTGATCAGTCCAGTCCTCTCGGCCTTGGCTTTATGCTGGCTCATCTTCGCGTGCTACACCAATCACGGAGGTCTCGCAGTTTTTGTCCCTTTTTTTTTTTTTTTTTTTTTTTTTTTTTCATATAGAAAGATATTTTTAGGTAATTATGTAGTAAAGAACGTTCTGATTAATCCTAATTATGATAGTCAGTTATTAAAATGATGATTATAATTAATGAAGTTATTGGTACAAGATGTAACCGAAAAATAATTAAGAAAGGAATGTACTACAAGTAATTAATGAAACGAAATCTTTTACACGATTACTATGGCTCAATGTCGCTTGTCTATATTCTCAGTAACGCAAAATAGGCGGCGCTAGTAGTTTTGCAAGAGGCCATTTTGGTGCAGATCAGAACTTAAGCAGAACAAGTATAGTTTTATTTTTTTTCATTCAGACGTTTTAAAACAAATGCATCTCGATATTTTCTAAAAAATTTCAAATAACTGTATGTCACTAATTATTAATTATATGATTAATACGTAAAAAGTACTAAATAACATGAAAAATATTTTATTGAAGGTATTAAATTAGTAGCTAGTTGCTAAGTTATTTAATGCAGTTATAGAATTATTTGATGTAGAATTGTATAGATAACCACGTGATTAGAAAATCTTTGTATAAGAAAAATATTTGTAAAATTAAGTATTAGTAGTTGTAATTGTGTATTTGTGTATTTGTGTATTTGTGTAAGTATTAAAATATTTGAGATATTTTTTAAATATAACATGTTGCTTGTATCAAAGAACTGGCTGTTATAGTAAGTATTATTTTGTGTTTCAGGCAAGTTTATCTTGATCAGTCGAAGCTCGACCTGCCAGTCAGTGGCGTCGTCAACCACAAAACACCCAACAAAAAATCATCTTCTAACTAGCTTTAGCGTACTAAACATTAGGGTACTAAGTATAAGCATAAATCTAAGATTAACAGGAGATAAGTGCGCAATCGATGAAGGGGTACCTAGCCTAGTTAGGATATCCAAGTCTGATCGCCCCTCGTCAGGCCACTTTTCTCTCGACTCTCTTGACAATTACTCCTTATTAGGATCCTGCCTTCATCCGGGCAAATACAATAATGTTAAGTCTAATTCTAGCCTCCTAAGTAATAATAACGATAACTACAAGTCTGTGATATTGCTCAGCTCAACCAGTAACCATTATTTCCTCCGCGTTGAAATGGACGGTGGTGCGATCGCAATGAGACTAAGAACCTCAAAAATATTAATTTTGAACTTAAAAGAAAAGACGGTGGAGATGTTGTCCTGGGTAATTAATGGTATTAGTGACGTGGCAACAATTACTGTTGGTGCTCTTTCATTTCAGGATAATGTTAAGTCTAACGAGCCCTCGGGCACTTATTTCGCGAGCTATAGGTACTCAGGGTCGTATACGCGTCTTGGCCCTGAGTTTGTTAAGTCTCTTTTTAAGTCTACTATAGGGGATAGGTTTAGGGTTAAGGGGGAGAACCAAGACGAGTTCGCTCTCTACATTCCTACTATGACTACCTGCAAGCCTACGATGACGCTTACACGCCAATCTGCATCCCGAATAATCGGTGTACCTGGATCTCGGCCGAACTACTTCGAGATATTATGGCCCGACCAAATGCACACTCCTCACAAATTTTATGACAGTTTATCAAACTGTTTAAAAGAATATCACAATGATTCTCTTCCAAAAGGAGAAGACAAAAAGAACAATTCTTCGAAATGTTTCGGCAATTTTAACGAACAGAAACAATGCCGATACATTGGTGAAAATGCGATTAACGATAACGAATTGAAAAGAATTAGATCTCAAATTGCTATTTATTTCAACGACGAGCATCGTACTCAGACAGGAGTATTTTGTTTTTGCGGTTTTGAGAGGAATTATTATTGCCAAAATTTGCACGAGTCGATAGAAAGAGATGTTTCTATTACTTCATCGTGCTCTAGTTTACTTAAACGAATGAAGCTAAAGTATCAAGCTTTTACTGTTGTGATCAATGGAAAATTTACGTCAGAAAATCTCTGTGATTTGTATCAATCTAAAGAGACATTATACAAAGTACTCCAAGCTATTGGATTTAATGTTGAGAGCGTTTTCACAGAAAGTCTGATGAATCCTAAGCAATTTGCTCTAACCATTTCGACGTGTCAAACTGCCCAGTTCATTGACAGTGAGAATTCTAAAGCAATGAAGACCGATACCATTACAGTAAACCTATACAATTGCAATCAGTTTGAAAAATATAAAGTTGCTCCTGCTTCAAAGGATGAACGAACTTCCAATGAAAGTTCTATAGTTTCTGCTCCATTGGAAGAAGATGTATCCTGTAGAAACCATCCAATTTACAGTTTCTCAGAACAAAAGAAAATCGACAACGCAGACGGTATGAATCGAACTGATCTTATTCATTGTGCAAGGAATCTCATAGCAGCATGCGTGGGAGTCTCCAAAGACATCTTAGAAGTTCACAGAACTGATCTTAAGCGTGTATTAGCGCTTCTTTTTGGACCGTTTTGCGATCTCGATGAAATCAATTTGAAATATAAAAAGAGGTGGGGAATTCCTGGTATTCTTAGATTGGCTGGTGGTGGTGAAAGTTCGTTAAATAGTGGTGGATCTACAAATTGGGGCTCTACGCAAACTAGTACTACAAACAATAACAACAATCAGTCAGGCTGGGGAGGAAACTCTGGGAATCCTTCTGGAAATAGCGGAGCACCTGGTAGTTGGGCCGGAAACAGTGTAAACAGGTCCGTTGCTGGGAATCCTAATTCAAATCAAAATCAAGGACCTCCGGGTGGACAAAATGTTCCAGGTAAGGACTCGTTCTTGTTAAGTTTTTTTTTGGTATCTGTTTCATTATAGAATTTTTATGTAATAAATAGTACTTGTGACAATATTTTTTTATTTATAATATCAAATGTTAAATATTTTATTAATAATAAATTTCATCTTTAGTATTATAAATTTGAAACAATGGGTGGATCGAATTTCTATTTACTTTTTTTTTATTCCGTTTACATGTGATTCGGAGAGTATCTTTTTAATTCCGAGACTTCGTGAATTTTCATTGCGATTAAACACGATGAACAATTATTTCTTAGGTAACGTGAATAAAGTGAATAATCCAAATCAGCAATCAAATCAACAATCAGGCCCACCCACTTCTCAATCAAGTGGTACAAGTCAGGGTGGACAAAACAGCAACCAATGGTCACAAGGGAAATCTAACAATCCTGGAGGACCAAGTCAAAACTCTTCTGTTCAAAATAATAACACTTCGGCCCAACAGCAGCAACAACAGCAGCAACAACAGTCAAATTCCAGCAACAATAATAGTCAGTCAAATAATCAGGCTCAGGGATCTGTTAACAGTAGTAATACACCTGCAAACAATAATCCTTCAACAAAACAACAATTAGAACAGTTGAATACAGTGAGGGAAGCACTTTTTAGCCAAGATGGTTGGGGCTGTGTGAGTATTTCTATCGTATGAAGTATATTATTGCATGAATGAATTTATTGATGAAATCTTTTTTTCATCAGAGTCGACATTCTAACTGAAATGTCTGTGTTCAATGATTTACTTTCTTTCTTTATCATTATATGTTCCATAAATTATAAAGTGTTTCTTTTGATAATCTCATACACTTACATTTTATGTCTTATTATAAGTACTATAGCATACTAACGTTGAATTTTGCATTTCTGCTGTAGCAGAATGTGAATCAGGACACAAATTGGGATGTTCCAACATCTCCAGAACCTAGTATGTCGAAAGATGGAGTTCCCATATGGAAGACACCAGTGAACAACGGCACGGATTTATGGGAAGCTAATCTTAGAAATGGTGGCCAACCTCCACCGCAACAGCAAGCTAAAACGCCTTGGGGTCATACACCAGCAACAAACATTGGTGGAACTTGGGGTGAGGATGATGAGGCTGCTGATTCGTCTAACATGTGGACTGGTGCTCCCACATCTTCCCAACCAAATTCTGCGGCTGGCCAATGGACGACTGGTACTGGTAATCAAACCGGCATGTGGGGAGGTAACAATTATTATATTGAAACACTTTTGTTTCTTTTCACTTTCTATGATATTATTTTAAAATAAAATACGAATAATTTTTGTTGCAGGATCCAACTGGGGTGATCCAAGGATTGATCATCGAGATCCTCGAGATCTTCGTTCTGTTGATCCTAGAGAGATGCGTGATCCGCGGGATCACAGAATGTCTTTGGATCCTCGAGAACATATACGTGTGATGGATCCAATGGCTCGAGATCCTAGGATGGCAGATATGCGTGGCGATCCTCGCGGAATTTCTGGAAGGTTAAATGGTGCGAATGCGGATGCCATGTGGGGTCAACCACCAGGTCCTCCACATCACCAAATGGGACATCAACATCCTTCAGGTCCCCCAACAAAGATGCTAAATCCTTCCAATATAAATCAATGGGGGGCTGCACCACCACCAAAGGATATCATGCCAGGGAAACCATCAGGTTGGGAAGAACCTTCCCCACCAACACAAAGAAGAAACGTTCCGAATTACGACGATGGCACAAGTTTATGGGGGAATCCTGCAGCTAATCAGAGGGCCATACCTGGTGGTAAAGTTTCTCATTGGAAGGATCTTCCAACGCCAAATCTAGGAAGAGGAGGTTTGTTTATTGTTTTTTTTTTTCTATATTATTCGTGTCTTTCTATTTGTGTATATAGAAATAAATGAAATTTGTATCAATTAAATTAAATTGTAAATTTAATACACTGCATTTTGGCACATTAGGAATGCAATGTCCTCCAGGCATGCCACAAAACAGAATGCCAGGTCAACCTGGCATGAAACCAGATGTTAGTGGACCAATGTGGGGACACCCTGGTGCTCCTGGAGGACGAAATGGTAGTTGGGCTGAAGGACCACATGATACAGGTTCATGGGATGATCCAAAAACACCAAGTACCTGGAATGAAGCTCAATTAAATCCTGGCACTTGGGGTGGACCCAGTGCGCACAAACCTAAACCAATGGGACCCTCTGGAAGCTGGGCTGATACTGATATGGATCCTACTCCTAGTTGGGGTCATCCCACAAAACCAACTCTTACAAAAGAAGTTATATGGAATAGCAGGGAATTTCGATACCTCTGTGATTTGGGATTTAAAGTAAATTATCGCTTCATAATTTATGTATTGTTATTTTTCGTAATTAATGAATTAATGATTATTTATTGTTTATAGAAAGAGGATGTTGAATTGGCATTGAGAACACGCGAAATGAATAGAGAGGAAGCTTTGGAACTTTTAAGTCAAGTGCGGCCTTTAGACCAATGGAGGAGACACGACGCACACTCCACTTACGATCCGAC